CGAGGCTCTTCCTTCTTCAAGCTCGTTGCTATTACTCTTTGGAAATTTCAAGCAGCATGCGGATACTTTACATACTTTTGTGTCGCGTGTCGTCGATCGTTTAATCGAATCTCATTAAGTTCTGACTTCAAACTGACCCGTCACGTTTCGAGGAAATACAATCGAAATTGTACCGTTTTTACGAGGCTGACGACACACGGATGATTTCGAATGACGATTTTCATGTATTTTCTAAATGACAACGGATTTCTTGTTAATACAAAGAAATTATATTATCGTATATTCATCGTCGACCTAGCAATTCGTCCACCTTTTTGTATTGACGAGAAGTCCTAACGTTTACCGCGCTTCTCCAAGGCCATTGTGTCATCTCCCGATTGACATTTGACTTTCACCAAGTATATCGGGGCAATGAAATAATAAATAATATGATTGGCTCTCATCGCCGAGCCAACACATATAAAATAGTCTCGTTGGCAGCGTGTTAGTAAAAACGTTAAATGTTAGTTAATAAGTGTAAGATTAGGCTAGTGACCGTCAGTCTAGTGAGTTAATTATTCAAAGAAAGTGATTTATTTTCATTTCAGTGGGTGGTCTTTCAAAAAATAGTCAACGATCGATACCAGTCGTGAGTGGCCTTAACACAAGATATATCGAGAAATATCGAGCCAAACATTTCCAAATATTTCCACCGATTTCTCTCTCTCTCTCTCTCTCTCTCTTTCTCTGATGTTAGACACGATCTTCGATTTCTCTCCCTCGAACAATTTCAGACTGATTTAACAATTTCTCGTTTCACGGTCCGAAAATAAATTGAACCAATTGTCGGGGAACGGACACGGGCGTACGTACGATCGGCGGCGTAACCGGGGGCGACGCACGCACGCACCGGCAGATATATCGAACGTCGCTGGCGTCGTCGTTCACGTGTCACTGATACGTCAACGTCGAGAAGTTTGATCTAGCGATCCGCTTTAACGGACGAGCCCCGCGCCCAGAGGGCAAAGACTCGCAGGATCAGAACCAAGTATCTGTCTTCGCAGCATCGCGCCATCCATGTATCCAACCGTATGTAGGTAGTTAGGCAAGCCAAGGAACTGGCTGGTACATAGGCATCGAGAGAGAAACAGAGAGAGAGAGAGTCTGGGTCTTAATCCGCGCCCCTAATTTCCACGGAACGTACGCGTAATGCGATCACACTTCGACAAGCAGAGGCAATGGCTGGCGGAGCAGCAAATTCCCGACGAAACGATCCGTAACCGGGGTGCTCGATGTTTTCCCGCCGCGCCTCCCTCTCCCACTGCTTTGCTTAACGCCCCAGAACACGGTTCGACGACGACGTCGTCGTCGTCGTCGTCGTCGTCCTCGTCGTTGTTCCGCGATATCGGCAGACGACTAATTGGTAGCCGGGGCTACGGCGTCAACGAAACACCCCGGCCAAACGAGATCCGGGCGAAATTTCGTTTAAAAGTTTGGCAGCCAGCCTCGCCACCGACGTCAAGAACTCGCCGCTGCAGCCTCGGCTACGATGCCGAGAGGGCGGCCAACTCGAGAAGCCGCAAAGCTACTTTCTCATCTCCGTGGTAACGCTAAAACTGCGTTACGCGGCGCACCGAGGAACCCTGCTGAAAACCCTCCCCTACCCGCCACCGCCCCCTCTAGCCCCCGTCAGCTTGGCCCAGGCCTAAATACCCACGGCATTCCAAAACAATATAGCCGCTCGACTAACTTCTAGCGCTGACCTACGTTCTAACTAGCTTGGGCCTCGCTACTCGCAACTTCTAACTCGGTTACCTTCTACGTTTCTCGCCCCTCCCTTCCCCCCTACGGCGCCGTCCTCGTCCTTTTCCACGCTTTGTTCCCCCATCGACGCTCGGATAATCCCCATTAGCGTGTTGTTCCAATTTTTCCACTGTTTGTAAAAAATTGCACCACGCACGGGTAGTATCCGCGCGTGAATTGAGTCTGTCAGTAAGGAATGAAAATGAAATGTTGTAGAAATGCCTACTTGTTTCGCATAGGTTAACAAATAATAATGATAATTAGCATTTCAGAAAACAAAAATAAATTTAATTCGGTGACACTGTCGCTACTGCAATTCAAAATCTTCCGACCGACCTTTTCTTTTCAGTTGGTACAGACTCGCTTGAAATATTTGCAATTTCGACTTCATTTTCACTGTTGATGTCAACTATTTCTTTGAACTTTGTGGAAGTTTTAAGACTCGTTGAGAGTTTCGATCAATGTCTACAATATATGTATTTTCTGGCTGCGTAAATTCAGATTACACGAATTGATATCGCGTGATAATTTACCGCGTGAAAAGAGACTCGCGTAAAAAAAGTGCCGCGTAAATGGAGAGACGAGTGTGTGACACAAAATCGGGTGTATAATTATAAAATCCAATTGATTTGCGTCTTTAATTTCGAGTGTCATTTATACTCTTCAAGTAGCATCCGCATTCCAGGGACTTCTTAGAAAGTTACTAGAAAGTCCGAGGATCTTTTGTGTCTTCAATGTGAATTTTATCGCGCTATCGACTTTCCTCACAGTCGAGTGCGAAACTTTTGGTTTAAATCGATTGCACAGACGCGTGATTCGAGAATAACGAGCTCAACTGTCAGAACTGAAAGACTCTTGGTTATTTAACGGGCCGACGCATAAGACAGTTTGTCGATTACGACGCTGTTAGCCGCGGCGGAACGGTGGCGCTCTGTCTGAAACGTTTGCCTTTGCCTCAAGATCCTCGCTCGATTCTCTCGCCTACGGCCATTTCGCCAAGCATCGCAATTACCGGGCCAGAAACCCGGTGCAAACCGAGAGAAAGCAACCCAGAAACTGCGCTGTAATTGTCCCGCGCAGCCCGCGATAAACATCGACGCGGAATTGCATCCTCTCGAGGAGATTCTTTGTCGCCGTCGTTTATCGAGATTTCTCCTATCATTTCGCTTCCCAATTTTTTCGCTCGTCTCGAGTATTCCAACTTCTCACGCAAAAGGTGAAATTTCTTTCTTTATATTGTATTCTACTCATCACGAAGATACCATATAGGTCACGACCTAGTAGTTCTTTCGAAAAGTGGCAAAAAAGTTTCTTAATCGTTTAACATTGCGTGCGTGCTAACAGCGACTTTATGGTTCTCAGCGCGTGCATCTCAATATTGCGTAACGTTTATATTTTAAATAATATTAACAGTTAGTTTCGTCATTTGATTATTTAGATTCACATCGACGCTACAACTATGGTAAATCGAATGTTAGTGAAATCTAATACGAAAATTACGTAAAATAGACATCCACGCGTTCAGAATTATAAAGTCGCTGTTAGCACGCACGTGTCCACGGTGCGAACGTCATAAAATTGATCTACGTACAGTAAAATTTACCAATTTCACCATGACTTATTAAACTTTATTAAACTTGGGTTTACAGGAAATCCAATCATTGACCTGATTTAAATCATTTTCCAATTATTCGCTAGCAATGAGAATTCCAACATTGCACGCAAAAGGTGAAATTTCTTTCTTTATATTGTATTCTACTCATCACGAAGATACCATATAGGTCACGACCTAGTAGTTCTTTCGAAAAATGGCAAAAAAGTTTCTTAATCGTTTAACATTGCGTGCGTGCTAACAGCGACTTTATGGTTCTCAGCGCGTGCATCTCAATATTGCGTAACGTTTATATTTTAAATAATATTAACAGTTAGTTTCGTCGTTTGATTATTTAGATTCACATCGACGCTACAACTATGGTAAGTCGAATGTTAGTGAAATCTAATACGAAAATTACGTAAAATAGACATCCACGCGTTCGGAATTATAAAGTCGCTGTTAGCACGCACGTGTTCGCAGTGCGGACGTTGTAAAATTGACCTACGTACGCTAAAATTTATACAATGACCTGTGAAACCTTATTAAACTTGGATTTACAGGAAATCCAATCATTGACCTGATTTAAGTCATTTTCCAATTATTCGCTAGCAATGAGAATTCCAACATTGAACGCGAAAAGGTACTCACCACTCACTGCCTAAATTTATACCTGTTATGCATCGAACGTTGTCTGCATATTGTGCTCGATCGTAATCGTTCATTGCGCGAAATTCCTGTCGAATCGGAAGACAAAAATCGCAGATCCAGCCAGTCGACCAGACTATTGATATTAAGCTTTTAACGAGGAACATGTTTACAGGAAACCTGATTTAACTCAGGCCAGGGGCTCGATACCAGCCGGTAATCCTGTTAGCCTGGTAATCGTATTTGAGGCACGGATCGTTAACTTATCGCTCCGCGGGAGATTTTACTTTGCGATTTCCGGGACCGGCTGCGCTCGCGGCAATCGGCGAATTTCTCTCCGCGCGCGGCTATCCAACGTGTCTCTCGGAATTTTCTAACCTCGTTAATTTCCACGCTCGATCGCAAGTATTTCCTAACCTCCCTGCCTTCTTTCTTTCTTTTCTTCTTCGATAATCCGATTCGTCTCGATAAAAGCATAGATACATGACGAATTGTATGAATTGGTACGTTTTCTAATAGGCCCCCACACACGTTGATGCACGCATCGACTTCTCGAAACCTGCATTTAGAATCAGTTTGCCTGTCCGTACGTTGCAAAATGCGTCATGAAACCTAGAAACTGATGCATGTGTCACGGTGATAAGATATTCAAATACAAAGAGAACAAGGCACCTTCAAAAACAAAGAGACTTTGCTCATAACTCGACTGATTTCTTTACTGATTCTTCAGCCTTTTATACAGGGTGTTACCTCAGCAGACTTCTCAGAAGAGACAGATAACTTTGTACATGCGTATTTCAACGCGCGCAGGGGCCTCAAACACCGTTACTTTCGTTCAACTTTCGATAAATTGATGCGTTGAATTCGGCGTCGGGTGGGTGCAGTGATACAGCATGCAATGCGACGAACGAAGTGCACGAAGCAGCGAGAGGCAGTGAAAATGGCGCGCGGAACGGAAATGGCGAGGCTTACAACTTACCGTTGGTGAGATGCATGCGAGTATGCTCGTCCGGGAAGACGGTTTCGGAACGATCGCTGGCCGTGGAACTGCTGCTTAAAGCGCTCGTGTGACCTCGTCGCGTTCGTCGCCCCAAGGTCCCACCGCCGGTGCTCGTCTTCTTCGATGGCGCCGCGTAAACCGTTTCACCTGTGTACCAAGAATCGTTGCAATATCTTTTTTACTACGTTGGAATATCTTTCTCGGGAAATGTCTTCCGGCAGTCGAAAATTCGAGCGGAATTTTCGATTTTTCAACGTTAAGTCGCTACCACTTATTTTGAAAATTCTTCACGATGAATGAAACGAATTTAACGCGATTCAAATTAATACGTTCAAGAAAATTGCCATGTCAGTTAGGATCGTACAGGTTGTACCTTTTTTGCGAATCAAATTCACCCTTTCACAGGTCAAACTCGTCTTTTTTGCAAATCAAATTCACCTTTTAGATGAACTCGAAAGTGATGTAATGTCGTTTTTCGTGATTTTATTCGTAATCGTTCTGTTGTAACTATCACCCCTGCAGACTGTCATAATTATTATATAAAAACGTATATAAAACTACCCCTTGCAGAGGATTTTGTCTTTTATGTAATTTTATGTAATTTTATGCTATTTTTTGTTCAAGTGTTATTACATACAGTGACGAGCAAAATTGAATGCACACGTGGAATTTTTTAACGTAAATAATACTTGTAAATGTAGAATACAATTAAAAGTAAAATACGTAGTATGTTTCAGTTTAAAAGAAGATTCCATCATCGCGTAACCACCACTGTTGATATACAGATACAAATTGTTTTCGTGAAATCAGTTTTGCATCGATATCAATTTAAATGAAAAATTATCGATACTTTAAACTGTTAGAACTTTGTAAAAAAGAATCACGTAACAATATACTTTATGTCGTTTTAAAACTTCTGTTTTTACCACTCTAACTTCGTCTTTTTTCCCAAGGTATTTTTATTATTATGTAGCAAATGGAAAAAAGATTGTAAAAGTTCACACATATGTAAACATACTCACAGAAAAATTTTTCTTATTAAATCTATGATCTCGAAGATTGAAAGATTCTTTAAAACTTGTTGTACGACTTTTTCGCAATTTTGAATGTTAGGATTAAATGACAAGAATTCAAGAAATTTTAACATTTCGTCACGTAATCCTGATATCCAAAGTTCGATAAAATAACAGAAAAGGATCGTACAGCAAGGTTTGAGAACAGAATTCGTTCTAAACAGAAAATTTCAATTTTCAAGACCGTGGTGGAATCGTCAAGAACATTGTTTCAATTTTTGCAATTCTCGGGAATAAAAGTACTTTTACTTTCCCCCTAGCTGCACGATGTAAAAAGATCTTTGAAAAAAACCGTTCTTCGTAGAACGGTTAAAATAGAAGTTTCACGCTATGAAATGAGACCAAGTGATTATTATAGATCGTTATACGATTTTCTTTTACAAAAATAAAACAGAAGTATCGACAATTTCTCAGTATATATTCAGTCGTGCTTTTCACTGTGCGTGCACGCAATAAAATCTTTATCCCAGAACAATAATACTTTACGTTCGAATTGTTGTCACAATGGTTTAGAAAAGTCAATTTGTAGAAAAAACTTGATCTGCAAGAAAGAACTGAATTTGATCTACGATCTGAGATTTCAGTTTCGACTGCAGTGAACGTGACCATTCGAATTAATTTAACGATTCAGCGGCGAATCTTTCGAAAGAGTGAATGCTTGTGTCTCTAAAGAAAAAAAAAGAAGAAAAAAAACTCTGGCATTCCATGCGACTGCTTTACCCGGCTGTCGATGGCCAATATTTACAAGGCCAATATTTACAAGAGCCAGAGACGAGGTATATCGCGAATGTTATTCCATGGCGGGTAGTTAGCGTTTCCCATGCATTAATCAAGTCGAGCAGCTTGACTGGCTACGTAACGTAACGCGGGACTCGTCTCGCGGCATTTGTAAGTATCATCTTGGTTGCGAACGCGGGCGCAGCAGCACAGCACAACGAACGTAACCCGCTCGCGGCTCTAATTAACTCCGCACCGTTGCCATTGCGGGATCTCTCCGATGATATGCTCCCGTTGTAATGATGCCGGCGGGAGTTGGTGCTCTCGAGGGGAAACGGAGATGCCTGTCGATGATTCGGCGTCAAGGTTGGAGGCGGTGTTGGAAACGGCGTTGTCGGATTATCGGTGGTCGCGGCCCCCTCCGTGTCCGATCCAGTGCGATACGATCGATCACCAACGCCTGCAAGCATAAATTTCGCATTTCGGGTTTTAGCGAAATCCCGCTCTCCGAGTGGATTCGAGACACTATTGCGTGCAGTTTGCTCTCTGAATAAAAATGATCTTCAATTTGATTTGATCTTTCACCCTTTCACCCGGCCGCCACTCATGAACGAGATCTCATATCAAAGGTGTACACATTGATCGAATCATTTCCCGAGACGGTTTTGAAATAGAATCTCTCTTGAATCTCCTGATAACATTTTCACGAGGGAATGTTTTTTTTTTTTTTTTTTTTTAACGCTAGACGCAGCGACGAGTAAAGCGTGAAATTTTCATCGGAGACAGATGTTGTAGTAACAGAAATGGAAAATCTTTGCAACACTTATAAATAGAGTGCACAAGCTCTTATTTGTGTATTTTACGAAGAATCATTCAAGACTCTGTAAATACACTGTTTTATATCTGCAAAGTATCTAACGAAAATTATTAATTGGTCATTTCGACCATTCTGGTAGTTTCAGTATCAAACAAACTTTAAGTTTTCAAAATCTTAAATTTTTAATTAACAGCTATATCTGCCGAATCGCAATAGATTAAGAAAGATCTTTTATTATACGATAATTTCTTGTCTTATAAATATTTCATTGTCGAATGATAAAAATAGAAAAAGCATGTCTCGAGGGTTGAAATGTATTATGTACTCTTCAACGTGCGATCATTCCAAAATACGTTAATAAATAACCATACATTATATATCCGGCGCTCGTAATAAAAGGGTTTCCGTTATTTTCTACTTTCTTTTTTTCTGTTATTTTGCTACAGACAACCAACGAAATTATGTATTGTACGATTTCTCAAGGACTCGTCGAGATCATTAATTTTCTTCTCGCGAGAACGTCGTGTCGGTTAGCCTTCTAATTCTCTCTCCCCTTCTCTTGTAATCCGTCGACAAAGGGCCGCCCGTGTTCCTCGGTAGACCGAGCTTATCCCAACGCGTCTGCTCTTAAACCTAGCCTCGTTGTCACCGAATGGCTTGTCCATCGAATCGAACGAGTGTCGGAATGCGTCGCTCGCTATGCAAATACACGACTGTCCAAGACCGAGGCGGGACTCGAACGTGTCCGTCAAATAACGTCGGATCGGTGACCGGCGATCGCGTTTACTCGTCAATTATAAATTATACGCATACGACACTTATTTAGAGTAGTTTCGCAGAAAATTGAAACGAAATTTCGACTCGAATTGTTCTTCAGTTTTGCAGGGGCAATGAATCAGTCTCTCATTGCAAGTGCAGAAAGGACGTAGGAGAGGAAGAAAAAATAAATAAATAAATCGCGCGTCACTTTCGCTCCGATTTTCAGCTACTTTTGGCTCTCACGACACCCGTCGCGTTCTGTTTTACGCGCGAGCATCCGACAATCTGGCTGTGACAATCGGCGAGCATCATCCGCGACAACGGCTCGTCATGTCGGAATATTCTTGTCGGCGATGCTCGACGCGATTCGTGACGCGAAAGTGACGACGATACGGCACGCGGCGGCTTCAACGATGCTTTCCCTCTGCAAGTGTGCCCACCATTTAGGTGCGGATCGACAGGCGGGATTTTCTGTTAATCGCGAGCAAATTGTACGTGCGTACGACGATCTACGTTTGGCGATGATTCAATACGCGATTCAGATTAGAACGACCTGTACTGCTCTTTTCCATACACGCGAGAGACTTGTTACTCCGTTGCTTGTTCATCCTTTTTCTCGATTCTGTCGAGTTTTTTTCTACGCTATAACTACCAAAATGGTCAAAACGAACCAATTTATAATTTTTCTTAGAGTAATTTTGCAAGCTTACGATTTGTGTTTTTTTTAGAGATCATTTTTATAAAATATATGAATAAAAGTTCGTGATCATTATCTTATTACGAACCTTTTCCTGTCCCTTGCGTTCTAACTTCTTTGACTCGATTTGTATAATACTCGATCATCGGTAATTCAAGCACAATGAGTCGAATTGAGAATTTTTGCGAATTGTTTTCAATTTGCATTGATTTCAAAATGTTCGTCAATCTCGAAAATGATAAAACAACGATTCAAGTTGAAACAAAACTGGCCGAAAATTATATTTTCACCGAACAATTTGATCACAGTTTCACTGTAGCGTGCCGATCTAGTTCTACGTATTTTCTTTTCTTTGACGTACGAGCCGATCGGTGGCTCGCTGCCTTCAACGCTAATGAAGTGCAGCTAGTTCAAAGTAAAGTTTGATTTGTGATATTGATTAAAGAGTGTGAATTGAATCCCTGGAATGCACTGGGTTTGGGGAC